CCAAAGGACAAACAATGAGGTGTCTTTTCCCCATGAACGAAGCAGGGCTGTATTCCATTCTCTATTAATGAAGCCCCAGATTTCGCCTTTTGTAATGGACCAGAGCAAATCCCCTTCAAATATAACAAGAAAATAGCCCAGATCCTAACATTTATCTTATTTAAAAGCAAGTATAATGTGCCGTGTTCCAGATGTAATTCAATTAGATACAGTACTCGGCTTTAAGCAAAACACGCTTTATTCTAATAGTTAAATTACAAAGAAAAGAAAGAAGAACTGGAATAACTTAACTCTATTGGTTAACTAAACAAAACTGAAAGAATTGAGGATGCTGTAAATCAGGAACAAAAACAGAAGTTGCTGGAAAGCTCAGCAGGTCTGGCAGCATCTGTGAAGAAATAAACAGAGTTAACGTTTCGGGTCCGGTGACTCTATTGGATAACTGATCAGAATAAGAGATTATTCAACTACTAAACAGCAGCTGTTCCAACAAAAGTAACATCCCATTAACACACCCTTGGCAAAGGCAAATTCAATAAAACAGATTGTCTCACATATGCCTCGGGCAGCAAGAAGAGAACCCAAGCTTTTAGCTGAAACAGAGAGAAAGAGATAGTTTCCACAGCTAGTTTCAAAACCTCAGTAACTACTGAAAGTTAAACTAAAACCTGGTTCTGTGGGAGCCTGACTCCACCCATTAATGCTGCTTCTATTGTTCCAGCCTTTTGAAAATAAAACCCTAAGACCTCACAAGCTGTTTTCTTTATTGGCTAGGTATAGACCGCTTCATACCTCTGTCTCAACCTCTCTTCATAAAACAAATCAAGACAAAATACACTTCTTAAAACCATAATATTGCCACACTTTCAACAGTCTTATTAACTGGTTCTGTCACCTTTAAACATTTGTCAATGCCAGCACCCCAGGTCATACAATCCTGGGAGAAACCATAACATTTTACAAAAGATATAAAGATATCATAAATATGAAAAGATATATCCCAGTGATCAATCCTCACACAAGATTTCACTTTGTAAGACATTTTTTGTAACAAACTTAACATCAACATCAACCAAACATTACTTAACAGTAACCAGTTCTGAGGAAGGGTCACCGGACCCGAAACGTTAACTCTGTTTTTTTCTTCACAGATGCTGCCAGACCTGCTGAGCTTTTCCAGCAACTTTGTTTTTGTTCCTAATTTACAGCAACTGCAGTTCTTTTGGTTTTTATTACTTAACAGGCAACTAACTCTTAACTTAACTCTTAAGCACTCTTAACTGCTTAATACAACAGCAAACTCCATCCCATATTTATGCATTATATTGCACTTGAGTTTAAAGTCCAAATCTTCCTGGGAATAATAAGATTGCTTCTCCCTGCTGCATCAGTATGAATCTTCTTGTGTCCTTTTTAACTCTCCACTCCACTCTTTGAACATAGTCATATTATTTTTCAATGAGTTTTGCCTAAAGCTGAGTAGGGTATCTAATCGAATTACATCTGGAATATGGCACCTTACACTTGCCTTTAAATAAGATAAATGTTAGGATTTGGGCTATCTCCTTGTTATATTTGAAATTACCCTTGGTTAAGCTGTGGTCATTCAATCTTCACAGTCCTTGTTTCCTCGAACAAGCGTTTCATTCTACCAGCCTTCTGGGCGGAGGTTATATTGTGACAAAAGATGAACAATCAGGTGTTGTTTTTCTTCTACTTGCTTAAGAAGATCTTACTGTAAACATACTGGTTATTGGATTGGATTTGGTATTGCAGACGGAATGGTCCCATTGAAAAGCAGAAAGGGAAGAAAAGATTATTTTAGTGGTGGGATCATCTCGAAGGCAGTGGACCAATGTGCGGGATATGTGTGGTGGAAACTAAGACTGGAAAGCACTATGATTGCGATGAGAGAAAGAATAAATTAGTGAGAGGAGAAGTATTTGAAATGAGATAAACTCAATTAAGAACTTTTTCCACCACTGTAGATGGAATCCTTCCATAGTGGGAGGTCAGTTAACTCTAAATGGGCTGGTTTGCTTTAGGTCCCACAACTCATCCCCTCTCTCTCTCTTTCTTTCTAATCAGAGAACAGCCCTTTGTTCCTCTAGGACTATGGAGACTCTAGAGGGGAATCATTAGCTGAGTAAAAATAATATTTTGGAGGCTCTGGTGCCAAAGGCCACATCGTCAGAGAAGATAAAAGGTTTGAGTTATAAGGAGAGGCTGGATGGGTTGAGACTTTTTTCACTGGAGCGTAGGAGGTTGCAGGGTGAACTTATTGAGGTTTATAAAATCATAAGGGGTATTGATAAGACGAATGGCAGGTATCTTTTCCTAGGGTAGGGGATTTCAAAACAAGGGAGCATATTTTTAACGTGAGAGGAGTAGGATTTAAAAAAGGCAAGAGGAGCAATTTTTTTTACAGAGAGAGTGGCTGGTGTGTGGAATGAACTTCCAGAGGAAGAGAAGAATGTGGGTTTTTTTTATTCATTCACAGGATGAGGGTGTCACTGGCCAGGCAGCATTTACTGCCCATCCCTAATTGCCCAGAGGGCAGTTAAGAGTCAACCACATTGCTGTGGGTCTGGAGTCTCATGTAGGCCAGACCAGGTAGGGATGGCAGTTTCCTTCCCTAAAGGACATTAGTGAACCAGGTGGGTTTTTCCCGACAATTGACAATGGATTCACGGTCATCATTAGATTCTTAACTCCAGATATTTTATTGAATTCAAATTCCACCACCCGCCATGGCGGGATTCGAACCCGGGTCACCAGAACATTATCTGGGTCTCCAGATTAACAGTCCAGCAATAATACCACTAGGCCATTGCCTTCTACAACATTTAAAAGACACTTAGATAAGTACATGAATAAGAAACATTTATAGGGATATGGGCCAAGCACGAGTGGGTGGGACTTGTTTAGTTTGGAATTATAGTTGGCATGGACTGGTTGGACCAAAGGGTCTGTTTCCCTGTTGTATGATTCTATAAGATGATGAATGGCAAAAAGGAAATATAAATCTTGCTACATCTTGTTTTAAGATTCTCATCCTTGTTTTCAAATCCCTCAGTGTTGTCACCTCTTCCCATGCTTGAAAGCTGTAACCCCATAGCCCTCTTGAGATGTCTGGGCTCATCTAATCCTGGATTTTTGTGGATTTCCAATTATAATTTCTCCACCATTGATGGTTCTGCATTTAATTGTCTAGGCCTGAAGCTCTAGATTAACCTCTCCATTTCTCTTCTTTTCCAAACCACCCCTAAAGCCTACTTGTCTTTGACCAAACCTTTGGTCACCTGACCTAACATGTGGCTCAGTTTCATATTTTGTTTTATAATACTCCTGTAAAGCATTTTGGGAAGTTTCTACATGTTCTTGAGTTTTGGCCATCCAGCCAACTGGGTCAATTAGTTCTCTTGGGAATCTGAGTTGCTGTGGCAACACACATGTTAGCCTGAACGTATGCTGATGGCAAAGGTTTGAAATGACCAGGCATTTTTCCCAATCTTACTGACTGCCATCGGCGAATGTTAAAAGGATTTACATGTTAGTGCTCAGCCTGTTTGGGCTTGTTATGAATAAACCTTTTTTGAACAACAAATCCTGGAAAGGTCTCGAACTCACCATTCTAAGGCAAGGTCTCTAACCACTGTGCCATATGACCTCCTCACTTTTCTAGCTGTAAGTGTTGGGAAAGTGCACTGGTTATCAAGCCTCACAACTCCAGGGGTAATCAAAAAAGTTAATTATCTAAAAAAAAGGGCAAAAAGTCCCCGGTCTACGCATCCGTTGGAATCACGTTCACATAAAACGCTGACCAGGTTCTTGTACTTAATAAGAACTACAGTTCGTTAAAAATAAGTAAATGCTAATCACAAGTAAATAGCTATGAACTATTAAAATTGTAAACAAAAACCCAAAGAACAGCAGATGCTGGAAATCAGAAACAAAAACTGAATCGAAAAAGGGTCATTAGACCCAAAATATTAACTCTACTTTCTCTCCAAAGATGCTGCCAGGCCTGCTGAGATTTTCCTGCAATTTCTGTTTTAATTAAAACTTTAATCCGCTTTTACAAACCCTGACACGTACATGTAGAAAGATACAGATGACCAAAACAACATTGGTTTTATAGATGGAGGGAATAAAACTGGGAAAAACAATTGAATAGTACCAGTCCACCGATTATCTGAGGGGATCTTTTTACTGACAAGGACTTCCAATTCTTCAATCTCTGTTCTCCAGGCTCTTTCACTTCTTCGTAGGAAGCACAGAGAATTGGTACACTAACTACAAAATCTTTTATCTAGTGGTTAAAGACAATAGCTTACAGCAACTGGTGGGAGAGTAATCTGGCTTTCTTCAGCAGTCACACCACCAGCAGTAGAATCATAGAATCCGCACAGTGCAGAAAGAGGCCATTTGGCCCATTGAGTCTGCACTAACCCTCTGGGGAGCATCCCATCCAGACTCAGACCCAAACCCCCACCCAATCCCCATAACTCCACATTTCCCATGGCTAACCCATCTAGCCTGCACATTCCTAGACACTATGGGCAATTTAGCATGGTCAATCCACCTAAACTGCAAAGGCTTCTCACTGTATCATTCAAACACAAAACCCGTCTAGTTGCCCAAGAGCCAGAGAGTTATTGCCAGGCTGATGACTTTTAGTACCCATGGTTGGCAACAATTGTACAAACCAATCAGCTACTTGTTGCTGGCCAAATTCACTATCCATCCCTGATGCTCGGCCGTCTACAAACACCTTTCTGCTTCAATAAAACAGCAGTGTAAACACCACACACAATTTGTTTCAGTAACTTGTTTTTAAGAAGTGCAGCAATTCCTTCCACAGTCCTTTGGTTTAAAAAATAGTCCATTTTTCTATTTTAGGCCACAATCAAAATTATAGAAAATATAAAGTACAGTCCTTATAAAAAGGGATGGTGTCAGTGTGGATGTGTGTAGAAAGCCCCAGCCTGAGATAGAGAGATGTGGGCTGTTGGGTAGAGATTGAAAGTAGGATTGTGAAAGAAACGCCTTTTGGACAAGTTGTCTGGCGGAGGGAGCCGTAGAACTGGGTGAGGCGCAGGTTGATGAGGGAGGAGGACAGCGACGGGGCGCGCACACACACACACACAACGGGAGAGAGACGGGAAGGATCAGAGTGAGAGGCCCGGAGAAACACGGAGGATGGCGGCGGAGCGTCCGGGCGGCTCCGAGTCCACGGTGTGTGACCCACAACACTCCAACAAACTGCTCAAGAGCCTGAGCTCCTTTCGGAATGAGCCGCTGTTCTGTGACGCGGTGCTGGTGGTGGAGGGCCAGGAGATCCCGGTGCAGAAAAACCTGCTGGCGGCGGCCAGCCCGTACGTCAGGTCAGCTCGGGGCGGGGGGAGAGACACACACCGACACCCCCACACCG